TCCATTTTTGTTCTCTGGTGTGGAATTTTTGTTATTTCAGTGATATTTGGTTGGTTTAATTTCTTTTAAAGTTATTCAGGGACCCTCCCCCCTGGATCTGAATAAAGAATTGCCTTATCAAAGCACAATGAAAAGGAAAGTCAGAAAGAAGAAAAAGAAGGGAACCATTACAGCCAATGTTGCTGGGACAAAGTTTGAAATTGGTAGGTCTCCTCAGAATCATGAGATTTTCATAATTGTTGGAAAAACTAGTTTGATGTTGAAAACAATGTAGAAATTCAGAGAGAGAATTATCTTTTATGCAATAGATTTTTAAATGCCTTATATAAAAGTTTCTTTTTTATGAGATATTTAACACATCAGTAATCAAATAGAAAATCAGTGTCAACTAAAAGGCATTAGTTATTGATAGGATTGGATTAAATATATATGATTTTGATTAATACTTAATTTTTAAATCAAGTATAAAATAATATGAACAATAAAACCCAATGGTTCTAGCTCTAATCTTTAAATACAGATGTGCTTAGGAAAACTGTATTATTCTAAAACATTTGTACTGAGACTCAAATTATGTTTAGTCTGTAACATTCATTACTTTGTAAGTCATTTAAAAAACAGATTCAAATGTTAAATGTAAAATAAAAAGTGAAGAATTAGAGATTCATATTAAACAATGAGAACCTGACTTAAGGAATAGTGTAAAAATGTATTTCTATGCTTTAAAAATTATTTTGATGATGCTTATTATTAATAGGATTTTGGTTTATATGTGTAAACTGTATCTGTAGTGGAGAAAATAACTAAAAAATTAATTGCTTTAAATTAAGATACTTTTGCTCAGCATTGCCCCTCATTATGAATACAAGTACTCAAATAATCTTCCTCTTTTTTAAAAATAACTTTGCATTGAAAGAGTTGAAGAAGATCGTGTGAACCCTTAAGGATACTAATTCCTATTACCCGTTAATCATTGACGGTCACATTTCCATTTACAGTAATTCACCAGAGTTCATCAGCGATCAATGGAACATTTTATTGGAATTGAGGTCCCCCAATATTCAGTTCCATCAAGTGATCCTCAGAGGAAAAACTTGCAGCAAGTTAAGTGGGAGGGGGAGATGTGGAAGGTTTGGGGTTTATTTGCAGGGTATTTTCTAGAGTGAAAAATCTTAGAGGAAGGTGACTGTTGTCAAAGTGACAACTTATCCTCTTGTTTACTTTTAAGGTCCTGGTGGGGTTTAGAAGGAACATTTGTTGAAAGGAGAGTGTTTAAGTGCAGTTCCCTCTCACTTTCCCAGGAGGTTTTCGAAGGGCGGAAGCCACATTAGCGTTCTTCATGCTGGTTCCATAACTGTATGCTGAGCCTGTGCAGCTGTGTTCAGCAAAACTCCTGGCTAGATGAGGCTTAGCGATTTGGATCAGGGGCCGCTGGGAGAATACGGAGCCAAGTATCGGGGAGGAAAAGGGACAATTGGCCACGTGTCTGGGAGAGACAGCTACCTGTTTTCTTCTCATTTAACCTAGTGATATGCAATAGAGTACCTCTTGTAATTTACTGCTCCTTTGACAGGTTGAATTATGTAATGGAAAAAATAATTAAATCAGTTAGAACACCTGTTGTTTTCACCCTCGCTTTGCCTGTTTCCTCACCTAGAATACTTTGACCGTTACTAGCTTTAATATTATTCCTTTTACAACCCTTGACCAAATATTTTCACATCATTACCTTGTTTAACCTTCCAGATAATCCTCTGAAGTAGGTTGCATTACTCCCTTGCTTCCTTTTGTCCTGCCTTTCCTCACTCTAATGGTGAATTTGAAGTGGCTAACAGCCATAAGAAAACAAAGAAGGAAAGATAAAAACAGTAACATAGGATGCACCTTACGGCTGATGAGCATGCAAAATGCGCTCCATGAAATCGTCCAGTTAGAGATGTGCATGGATTTGCCTCTGCGCTTCCTAGCAAGCAGTGCCAAATACCGAAGCGTAATCAGCTGTGGATGCACAGTGCCCAGAGGTGAACCGTGCCGGTTATTCAGAGGAAACGGAATTTTTTCTGTTTCTGAGTCTTGAGAGAAATTTCTCTCATAATTCTTCATGGAGACACACGTGGAATAGTGAACTACATTCTCACCGTCGTCCTATAATTAATACTTTATGAAATTTCACAGTATTATTTTTAAAATGTCCCCCAGGCACAGTTGAAGAAACTGAAGCTCAATGAGGGTTAGCAGCTTACCCGAGGTCACACAGATGGCAAAAGCAGAACTTGAATCTGAATTAATTTGCTTCCAAATGTAGTGTTCGTTCTACTATATCATACTGCCTAAATAAAGTATGAATTGAAATTTAAATTGAGGAACATTAAGGTATCCTCTATGTCTAAAATTTAGAATTGTTGCATGGATTCCTATTTTAAAACCCCTGAACGGCTTCTAAAAGCTCTATGGGTCAAGGCAAAACAAAAAAAATAGGACAAATTTGCAAGGAATGTATTTTTGGTAACTTTCACTAAATGGTGAGAAGAAAGATGGGAGAAAGGGGTACATAAGTATGCAAAGGGAATGTGAGGAAAGTGGCTGGTAAGGTTCTCTCTCTTTTACTAAGAGGGAGTTTGGTTTGATAAGAATTCAATACAGAGGCAGTTATTTTACCTCTTTTTTTTTCCTAAGAGCACTCCTGAAAGACCGGTGTTTAAAAGCATGGCTTTAGGCTTTGGCTGCCAGCCGCCTTCCATGTGGAACTGACACGTTTAAGGCATTTCTTTTCTATACCGTGGGGGATGGTATGCTTAAAAAGATGCCAATTGATTTCTAAAATTTCAATTCAAACGAAAATATGATTAAATAGCTTAGATTAAAAAAGTGACAGTTTAATACCCAACACTGTATTTTTCTTTGAAGTGCAACTTTGTCAGCTCTCCAAGCTTCGGCTTTCATAGTGAAACATTTATATGTGACTGACCTGACACATTTGGCCTCGTGACTCTCAAGAAAGAAGGGGTCTTCCCCACCACTGTTACGTAACCTGAATGTTTGCAGCCTCACCCGCTCACGTGTACGTCAACAGCCGCATCTTACTAGCGCAGTCTGCGCCCTCCATCCCTGACTGCCACCAGCTCCTTCCTCTCATCGAGGTCTCCCCCGTTATTTCCGAGAGGCCCCAGGGCGGTGTCTTCCACGCACTCAGGAAGAGGCCTGCTCCTGAGCTGCTGGTCTGGCCGTGTCATTGTCTCCTGCTGGGAGCCAGTGAAAGAACTCCTCCGGGCCGTGTCACCATCGTCTGTGCCCTCCCCGTGAGCGCTGGATGACACCAAAGCTCCTGGGCCTGCAGGGCTCCCACGCCGCACGGTGGTCTGTGGCGGACGTGAGAGGAACAGCCCTCTCCCCAGGGCCTGTGTTGTGCCCGGGCCTGGGCCTCCAGAACAAGCCCATGGTTTACCAAGCCTCCCATGGGAGAAAGCAGCTTCACCCCCGGGCCCCTCCCCGACTTCCGCCCTCTCCAGTCACCGTCCTCTTCTTTTGTTCTGCCTGGGTTTAGGCATTATTACATGAAAAGCCCTTTCTCCTCAGCCAGAAAGCAATCAGGCGTCCCCCGGACTTGAGACCAACAGGTGTCTGGTCATCAGTGTCATACTTGAGCCAAGTACATTCAGACAATGAGTCCTTTTTTCCCATTTCTCCCCATATATATGGCAGGAAGAGAAAAACATTTAAAAATAACCATCAGAGCACTGCTATATAGTTACACCATTCTACTAAGACTCCAAATTTTGTTGGAACCCAAAATTTATCCTAAGTATTTGCTGATATTTACTCTAAACTTGAAATTCATTGGAAGAAAAATGTCATCGTGTGAATTGCAATATCCATATCAGAGAGGAGCGCATGAGTAGTTTGTACTAAAAACCAAGATTTTCTCTGAGCATAAACTTTTTCAATAGAATTAGAGGGTTGGGAGCAGATAGGAGGGCCAGTTTCCAAATCTCTACTGTAATTCGGCTTCATTATTTTGTATCCTGAGTCAATATAGCTGACTTGGTTTTAACTGCTAAAAATAATTTGAACTAGGGAGGTGAAAAGTGTAAGATGATGATCAGGGGCTATTTTTACCTTTTCTCTTTTGTACCTAGCCCAAGGTCATGAAGAAGCCATAAAAGTACATTTTTCTGGGCAGAGGTGTTATCTCAGCTCTGTGTGTGTATGTCCCACTGTGCTATGAATAATCACTGAACTCTTTAACGGTGTTGTGTACCTGTTAAATCTCAGAGGACTGAACCTACAGATGTCTGGTGCAACCTGAAAAACAGTTCTCAATTACTGTTGACTATAATATGGCATGAGATAAATTGTTGTAGCTAAAAATGAAGCTATGCTGTAACTAAGAGATATTTTACAAATGAAGGACTATGAGCTAAAATTTGTATATATCAAAATATTTTTGACAATGAATGTATTTCAGAAGCATTTTACTTTTGGTTTAACTTAACTGTTTACTTGCAGTTCGTTTAGTAATAGATGAAATGGGATTTATGAAAACTCCAGATGAGGATGAAACAAGTAACCTTATATGGTGTGATTCTGCTGTTCAGCAGGAGAAGATCGCTGAGCTGCAAAATTACCAGGTGGGAAATTAATCATGACCAATTACTGTCAGTAGGAAAGTTACCAGAATTCCATTATAATTTTCTTTAGATAGGGTTTTTAGTATGTTGGCACATTAAATTTCAGTCTAACTTACTTGAATAGCCTGTTTTGTTGCTGTCCAGTTGTAGTGATCCCTTGCATGAAGACTGCTTCCTTTCAAATTTAACTTTTACCCCCTTTCCATCCTTAAGGAGGAGTTGATAGAAGAACACTCTTCCTGGGTTGTTGCTCTGCATCTTCTGCTTGAAGATGAGCGAGGTGGGATAGGTTGCATAAAGACATCTGAATGCAGAAATCCCATGTAATGTCAGCTGTGTGTAATTTGGCGCATTCTTTTATTTTTAGAACGTAACACAAACTTGTATTAAAAAAATAAAAAGCCGAATACATGGAATTTTAAACAGTTGACATTTTGTATGGTTCTTCTTCATCTGTTAGTATAGGAAGTAATACAAAATTGACTGGGAACAAATAAGTCCATTTTTACCAGTCTTTCTACACTGCTTATCTGTCTGAATATGGTAAATCTAGAATACCAAAAGTAATTTGGACATTGAATTACCAGTTATTCAACAGAGAAAATTGTAACTTTAATGTCCATGTAAATACCTTTTCTGATTTCTTTAAATTCTTGCAATTTTATTCTCTGATTATTCTCTGAATTCTCTAATTCCACAAATTCATTGTAGGTCATTTAACCTTAAATATTTTACATTAATAATTGTCAGTTTACTAAAACATTAAGCTCAAAGGATGAATGTAACTGCATTATAGTATAAATGATCATATTAAGCCAATGAGATTATTAACATTTACCTTTTTATTTTCCAGAGGATCAACCATTTTCCAGGAATGGGGGAGATCTGTAGGAAGGATTTCCTAGCGAGAAATATGACCAAGTAATCTTCATTTTCTTGTAATAGAGAAGACCTTATGTTTGAAATTTACCTTTTGAATATCACGGTGCTATCTTTTACAAGGTTACATTGATTTGAAATGAGCTTTTGACAGAAGAGAGAGAATTTTAGAGCTAGAAGGGTCTTAAAAGTTCTCTGGGTCTATTCCTTCACTTTGCAGAGGAGGTAATTGAGGCTCAGAGACATGCAAATCTTGCACAAAGTCAAACAAATAGTTAACGGCAGAGCTGGAGTAGAATCCTGGTCTCCAAAATGTCAGAGTTCTTTTTACTGCAACTTGCTGTCTCTCTAGCAACATAAATTTTTCTTTTACATATACGAAGTTTTCTGCACATGGCATTCAATGTATACTTACTTATTTTCAGTTAAACTTTGCAGAAATTAATTTGTTGTGTTGTTGCATTGTATCTGGCATATATATATGTGTGTGTGTTCAGAATACTGGTTCTTGAACATCTAATATGTGCTAGGCACAGTAGTAGGTGCGTATGTGTACACACACATACACATAGACACATGTAATTGTGCCTACCCAGGAATATACATGCACACATATTTATCTCTGAAACCATTATTCAGAGTGATAATCTGCTTTCGTGGGAAAACTGTTAACAGGTACTCAAGTGTGGTAGCGAATATACTGCAGAATTTTTATGCAGTTTATATTTCTGTTGATTAGATTTTTTAAGAAAGTTGACAAATTGAGAAAAAAGTTTAAAAAGAGAACTCTCACAGAGAAATGTTAGGAAATGTGCACGTAATCAAAGAAATATTCGTATGCATTCATGAGAGAGTTTATAATCCATTCACACAGAAGTCTTTTTTTGCATGTCTACGATATGACCTAGAGATGCTATCTTTGAAGTAAACAAGATAATGAATGCCTCGTCCCTGCCTAGAACTCACATTTTAGTAAGGGTGAAAGACTGGTACCCACACTAGTTTGATGCTCTCACAGTAGAGTTAGAGTTTGTGTGTGGTGGTGACTAAGATGATGGGAGAGATTATTTCTGAGGGGACAAGGAAGGATTAAATTCCCAGAAATTTAATGGATATTGAAAAGAGTATAGGATTTCACCCTTTGAGAAGGAGGTAAGGAGATCGTAGGCAAAGACAACAGTGGGAGAAAATATATGGAAACTTAAACCAACATGATATGGTTAGGGGAACGCTAAGCAGTGTTTGTGATTACATAGGATGTTGGGAGCCCAGCCAGAGATGATACGGGAATGAAGTGTCAAGGCCAGACTGTGACTGCCATATCATTATATTTATTTGCCGTGTTTTTCTATTCTATTTTGTTTAATCGTTTAATCATTGGTTCTTTAGTCTCTTTAACTACTCAACAAACATTTGTTTATCCCGAGAGAAATGAGGAGTGATTTAATGGGTCTCCGCAGGGAAGTACCGTGTTTTAGGTCACCTTGGTGGCACTGTAGATTTGGACTCGATGAAGGTAGGACTAGAGGAAGGAAACCCTGGAGGAGATGCTTGTCGATCTAGGTGTGAAATAACGAGCATCTAATAATCCAAAAGAGAGAGAGGAAGAACAAGGAAGAGAAAATAAATCTGAAAGATAAGAAGGTGAGAGAATTTATAGGACTTGAAAACTGCTCTGATGTGAGAATTAAAGGAGAAGGGAGAGAAGTCTCCGAGGAGCCTTCTAGGCTTCTGGTTTAGGATATTGTGTGGATGGTATGATTTATTAACATAGGGATTACAGAAGGGTGGACGTCAGAGGAAAGAGAATTACCTCTGTAACGGTTTGGACATGGGTTGTTTCATTTAAGTCATTTATTTTCATTTGACACATATTCATCAAGTGTCTATTACATGCCAGGCGCTGTGCTGGGCTCTGGGCACACGAGGTGATCCGAAGCAGACTTAGTGGCTTTTACAGCTTTGTCTTGCTACTGTGATGAGTGCTGTGAAGTAGGGGCACATGGTTCTAAATCAGTGCAGGGTGGAGGACTTCTAACTTAGGGAGGCATTGGGGCGCTTTCCTGAGGAAGTGATGTAGAAGCTGACATGTGAATGATGAGTCGTGTGCTGGTAGGTAACAGCCTTCTGGGCGAGGAGAATAGCATGAGCCAAGGTCCTGTGGCGTGAGGAAGCGTGAATAGTCAAGATACTGATACAAGGCCAAGTGTAGCTGGAGCAAGAGATTGACGGGGAGTGGGGCTAGCTGAAGGGAGATACTTAGGATTATGATCCTTATCCTAAATGCCGTAGGAGAGGAGGGGGGAGATGAAGTTGCTAATATGACCAGAGGTACATTTTGAAAAGATCATTCTAGCCGCTTTGTAGGGAACAGTCCGTATGACCGGGAGAGGCAAGAGGGTTAAATGTAGAACCATTGGTAGGCTATTGCAAATAGGCAATTTCTCATTCTGTAGAATCCTTGGAAAAAATAATCTATTAGATAAAAAGTTATGACCTAGTTATATCAAAATGAATTACATGTTTAGTATCATTCAGTAAATCTATGACAGAACCATGAACAGAAGTTATTCCAGTATCCCAAATTCTTAAGACTGCTTGTCTCTTTTAAAGCTACATATTGTTACACTAAATGATATGTGCTAGATTACCTAAATGGAATAAAGTATTTTTCCTGAATATATGTGTGCTTGGATTTTTTTCCAAATATATACATGAAAGAATGGTATCATTCACAAATACTTCATGGTTAGTTTTAAAGTATATTGTTCTATTAAAGCTTTAACTTGGCCTAATTGCATATCATTGTAAAAAATATAATAAATACATATAAAGGTGTTGAAAGCAAAAACAAATATATTAGCACTGTTGTTGTGCCTTTTAAGTTTAAATGTGTGTGTGTGTATTTCAGACCAATCAGTGTTAGCCTGTTTTGTACAGAGATTATTTAGCTTGTTGGCTTATTTTGGATTTGACAGGTAGAGCTGGGGATTCTTTCCCTTCTCATAGTGGAAACAACTTTTTTACAGGGTCCTCTTGAAAGAGCACTTGACGTGTGATAACGGCATGACCGTCCAGTTGTGGAAGCCAAGTGGCTGATGTATTCCACACCCTGGTCTTAGAATTTAGGCCCTACTTCTATGCATATTGTACACTATGGCCCTATTTTAGTTTTAACTAATCTCATTTGTGGATAATATCTTCCCATCTGTAAAAGACTTGCATGCATTTATAAAAAGACTTTGGAAACAATCAGATTTTCTTTAATAGATAACATTTAAAATATTTCTAGTAATTAAAAAATTATTACTGGGAATCGATGTGCACAAAATAATTAGCATTTGGATTAATCAAAAGCAAACATTTTGTACCCAGTATTGTATCGGTACTCCTAAGTTATGCTTCAAATAAGCAGCTAATTTGTAGCAAATACAGACATGTCAGGACATACATTGTAACCATGCAACCACATGTTTAGGCAGATGTGGCTCATGTAAACAAAACCTCTTCTGACTTAGTGGCTTCACATGGTTTTCTCAGAAAAGCAGTAAAACTCCAAAAAACACTGGAGTAAAAGCAATCAAAAATTGCTGCCTATGGATGACCCAGTAAACTCCATCTTTTTTTCAATTTTTATTTTTTGTATATATAAATATATATATATATATTTATTTATTTATTGAGGTATAGTCAGTGTAATGCAATCATTATCAAATTACCCAGGACATTTTTCACAGAACTAGAACAAATAATCCTAAAATGTGTATGGAATCACAAAAGACCCAGAATTGCAAAAGCATTATTGAAGGAAAGGAATGGAGCTGGACCAATCATCTTGAAAGAAGCAATATGAATGACATCTGGCCGTGAACCGTACTGACCACCCCCCTCCCTGAGGCAGGGTTAATTAATGACCCCTTCTACAAGTCACCCTGCCTTTGCTGCACCCATCACATTGTATTTAATTAATAGCCTGTATGTAAATTCCTTAGGACAGAGACTGTACCAATCCTCAGTGCTGACACATAGTATATACTCAAATGTTTGATCTGTTAATATGTAATTTAGTACACAGGGCACAAATTCTTGTATGTTTTTTCCACTAATGTATCCCTAGTATATAGAATAGAGCCTAACACATAGTAGGTGCTTGATAAACATTTAAAACAATGAGTCAATGAATGGATCAATAAATGAAGACATGGAGGGAATTTAAATTCTTGTAGTTAATGTCAGTAACACAGAGAAAGAAAATTTAGATGAATTTGAATAGAAATACTTTTCATACATTGTCTCTGGTTTACAGAATGATCAAGTCCCGACCTCTGGATTATACTTTTGTTCCTCGAACATGGATCTTCCCTGCTGAATATACACAATTTCAGAATTATATGAAAGAATTGAAGAAAAAAAGAAAGCAGAAAACTTTTATAGTAAAGCCGGCTAATGGTGCAATGGGTCACGGGTACGTATTTTTCTTTGGAATATATAAAAAGGTAAAAAAATTTTCAGAGAAAGAGTAAATGTGCTCATTTGCTCATGATTGAATACTAATATGAAAAAAATAGGTTTCTAACTTGCTTTTTTGGAACTAAATATTTTAGTGATCCCCTTTACCCTATCCTTGGCTTTGGTAATTCAATTTAAAAATGTAATCAAGAGGTAGTGAGACTTTAATAGTAGACAACAAAATAGAGAAAAATAAGTGTTTCCCATTTTTTTCTTAAACATAAAATTTGCATTCATAATAATTTTAAAGTAAGCTTGGAGGGGCAGTCCGTTGGTACAATAAGAGCTAAACTGACTTGGAGAAAGAGATGGAAAGGCAGTTATTGTTTTCATCTTAAAAAATTCTTAAAGCAAAAATTTATTTTCTTTGCTTTCCAAATAATTTTTTTCTTTATGTAGCCGTGACCTGGGTTGAAAATGAATAGAACACATTTTAGGCTAAAGTCCTGAGAACTAGACATGTTAGTTGAGACTAGATTATATGACTTAATATTCCTGTTTCCTTTGCTTTTTTATGTTAGTTTTCTGCAATGTACTTTTTCAAAGAAAATGTGTCTGAGGCTGCTTTTAATAAAAACACATGAGTCATTTTAACCTTTGATTTAGAATGTTGTGGGGAAAAGACATTTGGAAATGTAGCTGCCAGGTAAAGTATTACTAAACAAATTTTCTTTTAACTCTTAATCATAATTTAATCATTTAATCAAACATTGTTTTTAACTGTGGTTTAGTAATTGGAAAATTAACAACATGTAGTAGTGGAAATCTTTTTAGTGGAAATTTTTATATTAATTGTTTAATGTAAATTTATTTCACTATATGTTAGTATCAAGGTAAAATTCTTGGTGGGGATAATTGGAGTTTATGTTTTCTCAATATTAATATTAAAAATTAATGTTAAAAATTCATATATATTTATTAAATGTTAACACATGGTAAATAACTAATAATCTGAATTGGCTACAGTATTAAAAATAGCTGAAAAAGCATACTGTGCAAACTGTGCTGCCAGCGTTTAGCTGATGTAATGCAGTAGCACTTAGGTAAAGGACATGCTTCTCACCTGTAGAATACACTTATTTCCCTGCTGACCTTCTGTTTAATTGTTCTATCCATTACTGAGAGTGGGGTATTGAAGACTCTAGCTGCAATTATTGAACTGACTATCTCTGCCTTCAGCTTTATCAGTTTTTGCTTTATGTATTTTGGAGCTCCGTTGTGAGGTGCATGTGTTTATTGTTATTATATCTTTTTGATGCATGACTTTCAAAAATCATTAGATTTTTTTGTCTGTCGTAATACTTTTGTCTTAAAGTGTGTTTTGTCTGATGCTAGTGTAGCCACTTCAGTTCTCTCTTGGCTACTGTTTGCATGGAATAGCTTTTCTGTCTGTTCACTTTCAGCCTATTCAAGTCTTTGAATATGAAGTGTGGCTTTTATGGACAGCATACAGTTAGGTCATACTTTTTTTTTTAAAAATACATTCTGCCAAACCTTGTCTTTTAATTGAAGAGTTAATCCATTTGTATTTAATGTAATTATTGATAAGGAAAGCTTACCATTTTGCTAATATGTTTTCTATACATCTTAGTTTTTGTAGCTTAGTTCCTCCATTTCTGCCATCTTTTGTATTACGTGTATATTTTCTAGTGTACCATGTTTAATTTCATTGTTGTTTATTTTACTATGTATTTTTTGAGTTATTTTTTTAAATGGTTGCCCTGGAGTTGCAATTAGAATCTCAATTTATAACAACCTAGTTTGGATTAGTATCATTAGTTTTAATAGTAAACAAAAAACCCAACAACTTTACTTCTATATAGCTCTGCCCCCTTCTGTTGTTTTTGTCACAAACTACATCTGTATACATTATAAAAAATACTGTCTTCTGTCCTCCATTATTTCTGATGAGAAATTAGCTCTTTTTCTTAATGAGGATGAGTTGGGTGTGATGAGTGGCTTCAGTCTTGCTACTTTTAAGATTTTCTCTTGGTGTTGACTTTTGATAGTTTGGTTAGAATGAGTCTTATTGTGGCTACTTTGAGTTTATCTTACTTGGCACTTATTAGCCTTCTTGGATGTGTAGGTTAATATTTTAAACCAAACTGGGAGATTTTCAGCCATTAATTCTTTAAATAGTCTTTCAACTCCTTTTTCTTTTCTCCTTCTGAGACTCTCATTATGGCTGTGTTGATATATATTGATGTTGTCCCACAGGACTTTTAAACTCTGTTCATTTTTCTTTATTCTTTTTTCTTTCTGTTCCTCAGGCAAATGTCAATTGATTTATCTTCAAGTTCACTGATTCTTTTTCTGCCTTCCCAAATCATCTGTTTAGCTCCTCTAATGAATTTTTTTGTTTCACTAAGGCTTTGCACCTTCAGAATTTCTCTTTGGTACCCCCTACTCACCACCTTTAAAAAATTACCTGTATCTCTATTGATATTCTCTGTTTGGTGAGATACTATTCCCATGGTTTCCTTCAGTTCTTTGACATTATTTTCTTTAGTTCTTTGAACAAAATTAAAATAGTTGTTTTAAGTAGTTGGTTTGTCTAGGAAGCCAACTGTGTGGGCTTCTTCAGGTATAGTTTCTGTTCATTGATAATTTTTCTATGTATGGGCCATACTTTTTTTTTCTTTGCATGACTCATAATATTTGAAAATTGGACACTTTGAATATTTTAATGTAGCAGCTCTGATGATTATATTCTCCCTCCTCTGAAGGATTTTTTTGCTGCTATTCTAGTTGTTTATTTGCTTAGTGACCTTTCTGAAATAATTTTGTGAAGTCTGTATTTTTTGTTATGTGTGGCCTCTGAAGTTCCTGTTTTGTTAGATCAGTGGTCAGCTAGTAACTGGATGGAAATTTCCTTAAGAACTTGGACCTTGCCCCCCAATATCCCCCAGTCCTTGCAGATGGTGTGTAATGTGTGTGTGTGTGTGTGTGTGTGTGTGTGTGTGTGTGTGTGTATGTGTGTATGTATTGGAGCATGCTTTCAACACTCAACTAGGCAATTTACAACTCTGCCTTAGCCTTTACTTCCTGCTTGTGCAGAACCTGAAGGTTAACCAAGGCGCTTCTCAGCCCTTTCCTTAGCATGCACTTAGTTGTGGGCATGCATATGGCCTTCTAGATTCTCAGAAACATGTCAGGGATTATCAAAACCCTTATTCCCCCCAAAATTCTCATTCCTCAGTCTTTCATCGCAATCACTGCAGTTAGTCTGTTGTTTTCCCCAACTGTTATTTGTTGCCCCAGGCAGCAGGGACTAATACATTTATCTTTAAATGTTTTCAACATTTGTTCCCCAAGTAGCTGCCTCAGCACTGGGAGGATTCCCACTTAGACAAGATAAAAGCAAGCCCTTTGAGATCCTCTGCGGAGCCACCAAACTGATTTAGACAAACAGACAAACGAACAAAACAACCACAATAATAGGTCTGTTCTGATCCTTTTAGAACCAGGAACTGTACTGGGAACGTGGCTGTTGCTCAAGGCCACTGCTGAGCTGGGGGTTGGGGAGTGATTCCAGAGTAAATTCAAATGCCACGTTAACTCTTTTACACAGATTCAGCTGTTTTTGTTTTTGTTTTGTTTTTTGTTACGTGTTTCCTGGTTGGTACAAGCTTCTGGTTAGTTCCCAGGGTTCCAAAAAAGTTGCTTTCTAACAGTATTTTCATACTATATTTATGTGTGTGTGTGGTGGGACAGACCTTGGAGTTCCCCACTCCACTAATTTCCTCTTGAGTATCGTCTATAACTTTGCAAACGTCTTGACTCATATCCAATTATTCTTTT